ACAGTTTGTCACAGCCCCTCGTTTGTTGTCCTCTTCTCTCTCTCTGCCTACGGTTTTACCGGGCAGTTCTGTTTGTGACGATATATATATATAAAAACAGAGCTGCCGGTAAACCGCAGGCAGAGAGGGAGAAGAGGATATATATTTGTGTTAGTCCCCGGGCGGCCCGGCTGGGGGAAGGTCGCCCGGGTACCCTCCCGGGCGGCCCGGACCGGGCAGGGCCCGGTTAGGGTCCCGGGCGATTCCAGCGCATAATATTTTAAAAAATAGAAAATTAAAAAAAATCAAAAAAATCCGAAAAAAAAATACGTTGTGTAAAATTGCAATACAAATGACTTTTGGCTGAGGGCCACCTCGAAATTCCTATTTAATTTCAAGATAAAAAAATAAATGAGAAAACATGAGTCCCAAAAGACTCCAAATGTGCCCTTTTAAGCCCTTTAGTCACTATTTATACCCCCCAACCCCCCCTGGATGACCCATCTCCAAAACCGAAGTTAAGACCGGATTCTGAGTGCTTGGGCCAAGCGCAGTCCTGGCCTGAAGTCTTTTTTTTTTTTTTGGGGATCCTTGCCTCTTTTTTGGCCCGTCTGGTTTTGCCGGGCGACCCCCCCTCTGCCCAACTGGCCCGGGCGTGCCTGGCCGGGATATATTTTTTTGGTCCGGCCAGGCAAGTGGTCTCGGGCCACTCTGGTAGCCTAGATTGTTGGAAATTGCAGTCTGGTAACATTCTATTCTGGGGAACTGCAGTCTGGTTCCGTTTCCACTGTCAAGTCGTCGTAAGGAACAAGTGATAAGATTGAGTGACATCTGTAACAAAAATTTATGTGAGGAACAGGAGCTTCACTGACACTGGCATACACTTTCTGGGTGGGTTCATTTGCATCCATCTAGAACAACTCTGAATGTCTTCGAGAAGAAATCGCAAGGTTGAAGAAAGAGTATGTCATGAAGTGCATTGAGGCTGCAGCGACGGAATGTGTCGATAGGCACCTGCATATGCAGCAAAATGAAATCATCCGGGTTTTGAAGGAAGAGAAGGAAAACACAATGAGGTTGTGCAAAGCAAAGAACGAGGAGTTGCACAGTGTGAGGAAACACAACGAAAGGATTCCTGTTGAGCAAGAATTGAGCGCCGCACGTGGTCAGATTCGTCAAATGGGATTGGAGATCCAACGGTTCAAACAGGAGAGTGCAAAATTGCAATTGGAGGTCCAACGGTCCAAAGAGGAGAATGCGGAATTGCAATCGGGGATGCGACGGTTCAAACGGGAGAATGTGGAGTTACAGTTGGGGATCCAATCATTCAAACAGGAGAATGAAGAACTGCATCTGCGCCTTGATTACTTACAAGAGCAGATGAAGGCAGGGAAACTAGTGGAGCGTGCTTTGGAGTCGAGAAGTAGTGAGAGAGTGGAAGACGCCGATGGCGTTGGGGCACCGAGCAGCAAGGAAGTGGCTGATCCATTGGTAAGTCTGTCTTTTCTTTTTCTTTTTTTTTCTATTTGACAGCATCCGGATTTGAGCTTGGGTCTGCATTTCAACAGTTAGTGGGTGTACCAACTGAGCTACACTCCTTGGTTTTGGTAAGTCTGTTATGTTTTTCCTTTTTTGTAATTTTGAAAAGTAGCAATAGTCTCTGATGTTTTTGTATGCACCCGGAATCGATCTCATGATCTGTTTATTAATGGTTACATGTCTGTGTATGTGGCAGTAGTCCGTGATGTTTTTCTGTAGACCAGGATTCAATCTCATGATCTGTTTATTAATGATTACATCAAATTACATGTGTGAGTACCATTCACCATCACCAGGCAGGTACAGATCCATTGGTAAGTTGAGCTGCCTACCGTCTTCCTTTGAATAGAACGCATTGCAAGGGATATGAGCGAGAGTAATCGACAGAAAACCAAGTTGCAAAATCACGAAGCAGTCCAGATAGTCATGTACCAAGCAGAGAGCACAATGCACCAAGATTCCGTCCAAATAAGAGCAATACAATGAACTCGAGTGTCAATCCGACGCTCCCTGGTCACATCAACACTGTATCCAATGTCACTCCTACTGTCTAGTGCCCAGCGCCAGCCTACTGTACTCAGCCTATATTACGGGATTCTATCTACCCTATGTACGTTCTTGCGACTGGATCATATCGAAGTCGAAGACCAATGTACGTGACATCAACACCAATGCCGACCACCAGCGTACATCAGGTATGTGCTCTCTCCTCCCCTCATCCCCCCTTGGTTCCCCTCTGCATGCACTTCCTACCTGAAGACCACCATTGCCATTACCTGCCACCGCATGCTGGGCCCGGCTATGGCCGACGTGCGCCCGCTCCCACTGCAGCGCCGTCTCGCCTCTTGTCCCCCGCGTGCCCCCCAGCCTGCCTGCGTAGCTCTGTGTCGCACGACAAAGCAGCAGCGTGGCCGCAATGCCTGCTCAGGCCAGAATGCCCTCCCAAGGGGGCACACACTTTCCTTATGGAAAGTGTGTCCGCTGCTGGCTGGCCTGGCCAGGCATGTGGGGGCCCAGTAGCTTGCCTCTGGCCCCAAGTCTGCTGCCAGGCCCAGTTTCAGATACTGGCCTGGGCCTCGTACAGTTAGGCATGTTCAGGCGGCCACCCACCCTCCAAGTGTTTGCAGCATTCTCATTGGCTCGTGGCGCATGTGTGGCAACAATGCCCACAACCAGTCCGTGACGTGTCGGCCTCACACAGTGGGTGCCCGTGGCGCAACCACCCGGGCCCTGGGCTGAAGTGTACAGTGCAGGCATTGTCACGTTGCTCTGTAACCAACTGGCGTGCTGCAACTGCCTGAGTACCCACATATGGAAAAATTGACGAGAACAGGCCTCACGTGGATATTCAGGCCCGCCTTCGCTTAGGGCGGGCACGGGCTTGCTGGGGCCCACATCTCAGAACACTTGTATGTCTGATAAGGGCTCCGCGAGGCTCATTCGAAAGTCCGCTGAGACGCTTCTACGCAGGTGCCTTTCCCTTCATTCTTCGTTTGTACTCAGCCACAATCTGAGGTGCTGTCTTGACAAGCTCCTGTCTTGTGAACCAACGATCTTCTTTTGGATCTATATGATGCCTGAACCTGACCTGGTACTCCCTCATAGGTTTGGGGGGTCTTCCTCTGCCAACAGGCTTGGGAACAAGCAAGTCTCTCTGTTCCAAGATGTCATCAACGTCCACGTGGTCATCCATGGTTGGGGGCAGCATTGACCTTGTCGATGGGAACAGATCTGTCTCAGCAAAAGGTGCAAGCTTGGGAGCGTGAAATACAGGGTAAGTGCGCAGATGATCAGGGATTCTTATAACGTATGAGGGACCATCCAGATCACTACCCATGATATCTAGGACTTCCCAAGGACCAAAATACTGCGGCATTAACTTTCTAGAGATACCGAATTACTGTCCCAGTTCACTAGCCTTTACCCAGACACGTTCCCCTACCTGAAATGTGGAGTGTCGCCTGTGCTTCATCTCAGAGGCAATCATTGCCTCTTGAGACTTTCTGATGTGCTTGACAACCTGCTGCAACAATTTTTCATATTGGAAGCCAAATTCGATGGTTCCAGGAGTTGCAGTCGGTCGGTTTTCAGGGTGGAGGAAGTCTAGTGCAGATCTAGGCTTCCACCCCAAATGCAGCTGATTGGGACTGGCGCTGGTGGTGCTGTGTACAGCGTTATTATACAGACTGGCAATGAGAGGCAGTTTCTCATCCCAGTCGTCTTGGGTGGGCTTGATGTAATGCCTCAACAAATGCTGCACCATGCGGTTCATCTGTTCCGCTTGACCGTGTGCTTCGGGATGATTCCCCAAAGTCATTTGGAGTTGGATGCCCATCTGTTCAGCAGCCTTCTTCCACATCTCACTGGTGAAATGAGCATCTCTGTCACTAAGGATGGTCTTGGGCAGTCCAAAGTAATGCACCCAGTTACTGATAAAAAACTTGATGACGTGATCAGTCTTGGCAGTCTCCGACATAGGAATTAATCTAGCGTACTTAGTGAAGCTGTTCACTATGACGACTATGTACCTTTTGCCACTCTTGCTGGTCATGAGTGTATCCATGAAGTCCATGGAGACACTCTGTCCCGGACCAGCAGGAATGGGCAAAGGCTTCAATAACCCAAGTGGAACTTGAGTTCGCGGCTTTATCCTGCTGACAGACTTGATAAGTCTGAACGTACTTCTTTGCATCGTCAAGCATACTAGGCCACCAGAAACGTTGCACTAAGTTAGCAATAGTCTTCTTGTAGCCGAAATGACCAGTTGCGTCATGACACTCACCTAAAAACGAACTACGGAAAATCTCACTAGATGGAACACACAACCTTTTGAAACATGCCTTTTCAAGAAAGAGTAACCCATCCACCATCACAACCTCATCTAATGTTGCTTTATCCTTAGCATCTAGTTTGCGTATGATGTCCATCATGACGGGATCTTCCTTGTAGGCATCCACCAATGATCGCATTATATCGTCATATAAGCCAAACTCAGTTATTAGCGCACCTAAGTAGTCTACCCTACGTGACAGTGAACAACCTTGTTTGTACTCTCCCTTCACGTAATTTAGCTTGAAGTCGTACTGATCCATGACCTCAATCCAGCGTTTGAGTGCATCGGAGAGAACAGGTTGCGTCTTGATCCACTTGAGTGTCAGGTGGTCGGTTCTCAAATAGAAGAACCTGGCAATGCTGGCCCGTCCAGGAGGCTGCTCTTGCCAATGCCAAAACATGCCAGACCCTGGCGTTGAAACTCAAACAAGGGTTGTCTTGAAAACATGCCCAAAATGGCCTGTGCTAAAACCCTGGTCTGGTGCCTAAGTTTCAGGGCAGGTCGGTCTTATGAGGGCCTGAAAATGGCCCTCCGTTTCAGGCTGAAAAGACTAAGGGCCTGGAGGCCCCTGTTTTAGGCTGAAACAACGCAGGGCCTGTATGCCCTTGTTTTCAGGCTTTCAGGCTGAAACGACACAGGGCCTGTAGGCTCTTGTTTTCAGGCTTTTAGGCTGAAAATGTCACGGGCCTGAAAATGGCCTGTGCAGTTTGTTGCAGGCGCAGCATGTAACATCTAGCTACCTGCAAGACTCCTAATGAGCTACGTAAGTTGTTTAGGCCGAGGCGACCGTTTGAGGGACTAGACCGGGATCAGATACAGAGATTACCGCCCGACACCCGAGAGTTTGCATTGCAGCATGAGCAGGAAGTCGCCAGAGTAATTGACAATCTTAGAAACGCCCAGCATCGTATGATAGAACAAGCTAACAAGCATCGCCGACCTTCACAGTTTCAGGCAGGCGACTTAATCAGGGTCTAGTCTAAAGAGTTTGCACACGAGGAGAACATCTCGCAAAGCTCTTACCTGTGTACAAAGGACCATGCCCTGTCCTAGAACTTCTAGAAGTCAAAGGAGGATCGGACGGACCATCATACACTATAGACATTCCAACGCATCTCCACACGTACCCAGTCGTCCATGCGTCAAAGCTGTTGCCATGCACCACCAGCGACAGATTTCCTTCGCGAAGGTCAATGATTCCGCCAGATATGGATGGTGCCTATGATATAGATTGCATAGTGGAAGAGGGCGTGTTCAGCATCGGAGGGCGAGGTCGTCCCCAAAAGCAACATAAAGTGAGGTTCACATATCAGGAACGAGAGGACGACAGATGGTTTACTAGAACAGAGCTATTAGAAACCAATCTCTTCAGAAGAACTTCACCAGGCGCTACAAAGTATGAACAATAATAAAACTCCAGGAATTGATGGGTTAACAAAAGAGTTCTCGGAAAAATTTTGGCCCTTGCTAGGAAGTGACCTGCAAAACTTCTATAATGACAGCTGGTCCAAGGGAGGGCTGGGCAATCTACTCAGCAGCAGCGTAGTCACGCTACTATACAAAAAAGGCGAGAAAAACGATTTCAAGAACTACAGGCCTATTTCACTTCTGACCCTCCCATACAAGATCCTAGCTAAGACCCTGTCCAACCGGATTACTAAGATCACCAACAAATGCTTCCACATCGACCAAACAGGATTCATCCCAGGCCGTTATATTCTAGACAATGTTATGACACTGAATGAGTCGGTAAGAAAAATCAGGGAAAGGAAAATAAACACCGCCATTCTCTTCTTTGATTTCRAAAAGRCTTATGATCAAGTTAATTGGGACTTCATGGAARCAAGCATGGAAAGAATGGGAGTTGGACCAAACTTCAGAAAATGGGTTAGGATACTATACAAAGATGCAGTAGGTTGTGTCCAAGTGAATGGGTTACTGTCARATTGCTATCCRATTTCCYGTTCGGTCCGTCAAGGGGACCCGTTGGCCCCATCAATCTTTCTATTCGYAATGGAGGCTATCGCATCCTTCCTGCGCAAAGATCCATCAATTCAAAGACTAGCTAGTACCGATGTAGGCTCAACCCACCAGATGGATTTTCCCACAGCTATCATGT